CCTGGGTTCGATTCCTCAGCACCACATAAGCAAAAAGAAAAAAGCTGGAAGTGGCGCTGTGGCTCAAGTGGTAGAGCACTAGCCTTGAGCTGAGGGACAGCGCCCAGGCCCAGAGTTTAGGCCCCATGATCGACACCCCCCCCCCCCCCAAAAAAAAAAGAATTCCTGGTTTGCTTTCTCTGTAATTGTCTATGGCCAATGGATAGGTTTTGAATTACGTTTGAGGATACACCTGCTTTTGTGATGTATAACTCAATGTAAGATGCTAAAAATTTTATTTCTTATTACAGTAAACAGAAAGTAATTAAGGCTTTACGGATTTTCCTTTAAAAATAAGCGGTATATATTTTCTCTAATTCAGTTGTTTTTTTTTTTTGTCGGTCATGAGGCTTGAACTCTGGGCCTGGGCGCTGCCCCTCAGCTCTTCAGCTCAAGGCTAGTGCTCTACAGCTTGAGCCACAGTGCCACTTTTGTTTATTGTAGATCAGAGTCTCACAGACTTTCCTGCCCGGGCTGGCTTTGAACCGCGATCCTCAGATGTCAGCCTCCTGAGTAGCTAGGATTACAGGCGTGAGTCACTGGCATCTGGCTTTCCAATTCAGTATTTTATACATTGTCTCTTCACTCTGGGTTTCCTTTGCTGTGCAGAAACTTGTATTAGTTTGCTGTAATCTCACATCTTTATTTGCTGTTTTTCCCTGTACTTTTTGGGTCTTCTCCAAAATAACCTTGGCCATTCCAATGACCTGAAGCGGTCGCCATATTCTTCTAGTTTTCATAGTTGCAAGTATTGCATTTAATTCTTTCTTTCTTTTTTTTTTTTTTTTTTTTGCCGGTCGTGGAACCTGAACTCTGGGCCTGGGCACTGTCCCTCAGCTCTTCAGCTCAAGGCTAGTGCTCTATCACTTGAGCCACAGCACCACTTCCAGCTTTTTCTGCTTATGTGGTACTGAGGAATCGAACCGAGGGTCTCATGCATGCAAGGCAAGCACTCCACCACTGAGCCAACTTCCCAGCCCGCATTTAATTCTTTTATTCACTCTTTTTTTTTTTTTTGGTCAGTTATGGGACTTGAACTCAGGGCCTGGGCGGTGTCCCTGAACTCTTTTTGTTCAAGGCTAGCACTCTGCCGTTTTGAGCTGTAGCTCTACTTTCAGTTTTCTGGTGATTAATTGGAGGTAATAGTCTCCCAGACTTTCTTATCCAGCTGGCTTCATATTGCGATCCTCAGATCTCAGCCTCCTGAGTAGCTAGGATTAGAGGACTGAGCCACTAGAGCCTAGGTTTGTGTTTTTTTGTTTTTGTTTTTTTTGCCAGTCCCAGGGCTTGAACTCAGGACTTGGGCACTGTCTTTAAGCCTCTTTTGCTTAAGGCTATCACTCTACCACTTGAGCCACAATGCCACTTCTAGCTTTTTCTGTGTATGTGATACTACAGAATCAAGCCCAGGGCTGCATGCATGCTAGGCAAGCACTCTACCACTAAGCCACATTCTCAGCCCCATGTTCTATTTTTTTAATGGCACTAAGGAATTGACTTTAAGAAAATGTTGGGTTTTGTTGTTCCTATTTAAAT